TGTCCCTCCTTATTCTTTTTTATAGCTTTAAGTTGAAAGTTGATTTTATTCGATATTAGAATGGCTACTCCCGCTTGTTTCTTAGGGCCATTTGCTTGAAAAATTGTTTTCCAACCTTTTACTCTAAGGTAGTGTCTGTCTTTGTTGCTGAGGTGGGTTTCCTGTAAGCAGCAAAAACCTGGGTCCAGTCCGTTAGCCTAAGCCTTTTTATTGGGGAATTGAGTCCATTGATGTTAAGAGATATTAAGGAGAGGGTGTTGTTGCTTCCTGTCATTTTTGCTAATAGTGGAGACATCGTTTGTGTGGTTATCTTCTTTTGGGTTTGATGGAAAAGGATTATTTTCTTGCTCTTTCTAGAGTATGATTGCCCTCCTTGTATTGGAGCTTTCCTGCTATTATCCTTTGTAGTGCCAGATTTGTGGGAATATACTGTGTAAGTTCGGTTTTGTCATGGAATATCTTGGTTTCTCAGTCTATGGTAATTGAGAGTTTTGCTGGGTAAAGTAGCCTGGGCTGGCATTTATGTTCTCTTAGGGTCTGTATGATATTTGTCCAGGATCTTCTGGCTTTTATAGTATCTGGTGAGAAGTCAGGTGTAATTCTGATAGGTTTGCCTTTATATGTTACTTGGCCTTTTTCCCTTACTGCTTTTAAAATTCTATCTTTGTTTTGTGCATTTTGTGTCTTGATTATTATCTGACGGGAGGTATCTCTTTTTTGATCTAGTCTGTTTGGCATCCTGTAGGCTTCTTGTGTGATTATGGGCATCTCATTCCTTAGGTTAGGGAAGTTTTCCTCAATAATTTTGTTGAAGATATTTACTGGCCCTTTAAGTTGGGAATCTTCACTCTCATCTATACTTATTATCCTTAGGTTTGGTCTTCTCGTTGTGTCCTGGATTTCCTGGATGTTTTGTGTTAAGAACTTTTTGGATTTTGCGTTTTCTTTGACAGTTGTGTCAATATTTTCTAAGGTATCTTCTGCACCTGAGACTCTTTCTTCTATCTCTTGTATTCTGTTGGTGATGCTTGTGTCTATGACTCCTGATTTCTTTCTTAGGTTTTCTATCTCCAGGGTAGTCTACCTTTGTGATTTCTTTACTGTTTCTACTTCCATTTTTATGTCCTGGATGGTTTTGTTCAATTCCTTCATCTGTTTGTTTGTGTTTTCTTGTAATTCTTTAAAGGATTTTTGTGTTTCTTTAAGGACTTCATCCTGTTTACCTGTGTTCTCCTCAAGTTTTTTGATAGTGTTATTTATTTCCTTCTTATAGTCCTCTATCATCATCATTAGAAGTGATTTTAGATCTGATTCTTGCTTTCTTGGTGATACGGGGAGTTCAGGACTTTCTAATGTGGGAGAACTAGTTTCTGATGATGGCAAGAACCTTGGGTTGCTGGTGCTTGTGTTCTTGCGCTTGCCTTTTGCCATCTGGATAGCCTTTGTACAATCTGTGCTGTCTCTGACTGGGGCCTGTCTTTCCTATTATCTAGGTTGTGTCAGAAATGTTTGGGATGGGTTTTGCTGCTGGGGTTAGAGCTGAGGCCCAAGATCTGCTCAGTGCTCAGGTGGAAACCAGAAGGGGGCCTGGGCTCCCAGTCAGGAGTGGATTCCAAGGTCCCAGTGGGTCCCGGTTGCTCCCTGGTTGGGGGCAAGTATTGCTGCTTCCTAGTCTAAGATACTGGTTGGGTTAGAGCTCCTGGGACCCCCGCTTCCTCTGGGTGCTGTGAGATTGGGTGCAGTGCTGATTCCTGGGATCTTCCAAGTGCTCGGGCTCAGGCTGGAAGGACCCCACGCTCCGGGACGGGAGTGAATTCCTGGGTCCCAGTGGATCCCAGTTGCTCCCTGTTTGGGGCAAGTATTACAGCCTCCTAGCCTCCTAAGATTCTGCTTGGGGTAGACCTCCTGAGAGCCCCACTTCCTCTGGGTTCTGAGAGATTGGGTGCAGAGCTGACTCCCGGGATCTGCTTGGGCCCAGACAGGAAGGAACCCGCACCCTGGGCCAGGAGTGAATTCTTGGGCCCCAGAGGGTCCCAGTTGCTCCCTGTTTGGGGACAAGCATTGCCACCTCCTAGCCTAAGATACTGCTTAGATTAGAGCTCCCGAGAGCCCGGGTTCCTCTGGTTTCTGTGAGATTGGGTGCAGGGCTGCCTCCCGGGATCTGCCCAGTGCTCGGGCCCAGACCCCAGAAGGGATGGAGCCCGCGCTCTGGACTAGGAGTGAATTCCTGGGTCCCAGTGGGTCCCGGTTGCTCCCTGTTTGGGGCAAGTGCTGCTTTTTCCTTACCTGGGATGCTGCCTGAGTTAAAGCTCCTGGGAGTTCCTCTTTCTCTTGGTTTTCTGGGGTTGGGTGCTGAGCTGCTGCCTGTGACCTGTTCTATGCTTGGGCCCAGACCGGAAGTCCCTATGTTGAAAACTTAATCTTTAGCAGATTATACCATTAGGAAACGTTAGTAAGTGGAAGAAAATTATAGACTGTATCTAGTAGAACCAAAAAAGTAACTGCTGTGTGTCTGAAGAAAAGGCTTTTTTTATGTTTGTTTTCTTTTTTTCTTTTTGGTTTTGTTTCTAGCACTTTTCCTTTATTTTCTCATGGCTTTTCAATGTTTCATTCTTTTACAAAGCTACTTTACTTCATGTACCCTCTACTACCATGCTTCGTGTCAACTCAGGCCCAGAAACCATACACTGGAGTCATGATGGGTAGACATTTGAGATTCTGTGAGACAAAAGAACCGGTCCTCCTTTAAACTTATTTTTCCAGCTTTTCTCTCTAAAGTTACTCACAGCTGACAATGAGGATTTTATAGCCATGAATAACACTGAAACTCTTTCATCTTAAATTAAACCTCTTTTCATTTAATAACCTGATAACAATTCTAGAATGTTGGAGTGTTAAGGAATGCCACAGGCTTAGAGAAATCAAAGACAGTGCTTTCAATTGGTTTTCTGAGGTTAAATAAAAATAGCTTCAGAACTAACTAAAAATATAGTTTCCTTACAGTTCTGGATGTTAGCCCAGAATCAACCTCAATGATAAGGAGATTAGACAGCATCCTCTAGACTCTACATTGTAAACTCCAGGTATCTTCCAAGAAAGTACCACCTTAGCCAGAATAATGGGCACTCTTCCCCATCGTTCTCTTTTCCACTGTAACAGCCATTCTGTATAGTTCAATTCCCTCTCTCCTTATGAGAAAAACAGATGTAATTATATTGATCTCACCCAGGTATTTTAGAATGTTTCTGTCATCTCAAACTCATAACTACACCTGGCAAGTTCTTTTAACATGTCAATTTCAATTTAAAACTTCTAGAGTCTAGACTTGGATAATTACGGGAAGGTTCAGTGAGTTCCATTATTCTCAAACCATTAGCTTGTATCCTCTCCTTAAATCATGAACTTTTTGAAGTCTGAAAAAAATCAGAAGTCCTATTTCTTTATCAAGAAATGTAGAGAGACACACAAATCTCAACATGTACAGGTATGTAGTCAATATGTGTGAGATAGAGTCTCTTAAGAAATTGTTGAATGTTTAAAAAGCAGTGATGACCACTCTTATACCATCAACACACACTTTCCTAGGAAGATCTAATTGAAAACAAAATCGTTTACTTCTTAGTGCAATCTAAACCTATTGATAAAGGAAAGTCGAATGTTTCTGGAAATTCCTTTTGTATTTTCATGTATCATAAAATGAGGTGTGATAAGAATTTAGATCCTAGATGCCCTGCATGTTAATGATTCACCTTTTTTTTTTTTAAGTTGAGAGGAACTATCATCCTCCTACTAACATGCAATACAAATATTCTGAGCAATTCTTGTTCTGATCCTGAGGCTATAATGTGAGAACCCAGAAATGTTTTCCAAGCCTCAAAAATCAAAGAGACACAGATTAACCTGTTAGATATGGCAGAAAGAGAGTGCAAGAAAGAGGCAGGGAAGGTAGCATTATTAGTAATCCCTCCAAAAGCTGCTGTGTGATAGTCCTGATTGGGAGTGTACTCTGTATATTGAACAAGCTGCCTTATGACTATGCTTTTGTTGTCAGACATCTCTCAAGTGAAGGTTCTTGGAAAATCAGGGTGTATAGACCCATATTGCAACATTGTAGTGCCTTTCATAGTTAGTTTCAGAAAGACCCCAATCATTCCTTGGCTTTAGGACAAAGTATTGAAGATTGAAATGATTGTATTTCTTGTGATGATGAATAAGGTTGAATGGTTATAAAGACAAATGCATGATCTGTGGTTTTTACATATTTGTGTTATGAGAAGGAACAAACTTTTCTGCACTGTAGCTTGTATGGAGACTGTGAACTACATACAGACAGTGAGGATGGTGCCTGAATCAGGATAATAGCTCCAGTTACTGCTCAAGAACAAAATGTGAAAATAGCAGTGTTTTCTCAATTCTACCATCAATAGTCAAACCTTTATACTGAGGAACTATGGGAAATAGTAGCAAATGTTAGAAAAGAGAAAATATGGAGGATCACAAACTGAGCAAAAATTGGACCCATTTGATTTGTAAATGTGAAAGTACTCCCATCTTCACCTGGAGTCAGAAGTTTAAATGACACAGGTTCTTGAGATCACGGTGTTATATGTACACCTATGGTGGATTTCAGCTCTTTGAACAGTGGTTAGCAAAATTAATGCTGTAAAATCTTATTTTTTAATTCAGTGATAATGATTATGATGAATTGTCCTTTTAATTTCAAGAGATGTCTACTCCAAACACTATACAGGGGAACACATAATATTTTTCTAGACAATCAGAATTATTTGAATGAGTTAATATCTAATAGTTTTTCTCTGTTGTATATTCTCTGACATCAGGATATTCTATATTACCCCATCATATCTTTGAAATATATTATTCAAAGTAGAGACTACCTACATTACAGATGTTATCTATAAGTATAAATCTTTGAGAAGAAATTCATTTTCTAGAGACATACAAGTAGCTTGACCTCAGGCATCTGGGGACACTGGGCTTGTGCTAAGTTCTGAGATGAGGAAGCTTTGCAGCTGTGCACAGTGCTAAGTGGTTTCTAATGATTTGCATGACCTCACTGCACAGCCCTGAGAACTTCTTTATATACTAGTCACAATCTGTGTAATTGTCACTACAGTCAGGACTCAGCATGGATATGAGGGGCCTTGCTCAGTTTCTTGGAATCTTGTTGCTCTGGTTTCCAGGTAAATTGAATTAAAATGGAAATTTCACTTTTACATAGTGATTAGTGTTGACTGGCATTTGGTGAATGTCCTGTTTTTATCAGACTTACCTATGTGGATATTCATTTTATCTCCACTCCCAGGTATCAGATGTGACATCCAGATGACCCAGTCTCCATCCTCCAAGTCTGTCTCTCTGGGAGACACAATCAGTATCAGGTGCCAGGCAAGTGAGGGCATTAACAGTTACTTAATCTGGTTCCAGCAGAAACCTGGGAAATCTCCTAAGCGTCTGATCTATGGTGCCACCAACCGGGCAGATGGGGTCCCATCAAGGTTCAGTGGCAGTGGGTCTGGGGCAGATTATTCTCTCACCATCAGCAAACTGGAGTCTGAAGATATGGCAGATTATTACTGTGCACAGTATTATAAGTATCCTCCCACAGTGATACAAGTCATAACTTAAACCTCATGGAAGCAGAAGTGAGAGGCTTGGCTGCTGCAGCTGCTTCTCCTCACAAATCACCCACTCTAAGTATTTCTCAGATGTCACAGGTCTTTCTGAGAGTTTGGGGTCATGCCAGGTGTGGTCTTAGTTGTGCTATGCCCTGCTCACCCATTATGGTCTCAGAGTGTTGGTTTTATTAGGCTATCTTTCTGTCTTGGCCTCATGGGCCTTGTTTGGTGGTCACCGAGGGCTCATTCCCCATGTTGTCCAACTTAGTGGCCCCTTGAAAGTATTGGGTGTTTCAAGCTCATTCATGCCCATAGTCTTGGTCATAGGAAGATTTCTTCTCATCTCTGGATCCCCTTCCTGGAAGCCTGTCTGTTCTTGCTTCATGCTAGTCTGGCTGTGTTAGGCTTACCTCTTTCAGGGAATGTTAGGCTACTTATCATTCAGACATTCACAGGTCAGGACAGTGAGCTGAGCATAGACATAACCTCTCTCTTCTCTGCCTCCTACTGACACTCATATGACAAAAAGTACACACCTGCAATGCTTCTGGGAGGCAGGAGTGCACCACAGTCTTGATCACTCTAATTTTATACAACAGAGAGGAATGAAGTCATAAGATATAATGCCACCTTTCTAGGGTTCCAATTTACTTAGTAATGTCCTTTGTCTATCTCCCGAAATTCTAGATTGATTTTTGCCAACTTTCAAAACTCTTTCAGAAATATTATTAGCATTACATTGAGTTTATTAGCAAACTGGAAATGATATCCATTTAAATCTAATTTATGGGAAAGGAAAGGAAGCCCAGTGGTGAAGGGCATTTGTTTATCTTGAAAGAGACATGGGTTTGATTCTCAGTTTTCATAAGATAATCAACAGATATCATTTTTATTACTTATTTATTTAATATATATGAGTTCTCTGTGTTTACATAGACACACACACACACACACACAAACACACACACACACACACACACCAGAAGATGGGGTCTGATACCATTACGGATGGTGGTGAGTCATCATGCTGGTACTGAAAATTAAAATCAGAACCTCTGGAAGAGCAGTCTGTGCCCTTAACCACCCCACAGCTGACTTTAATTTCAGTTGCTGTAGACCAAACATCATGTTCTGTCTTTTGATGCTACTAAATATACACATAATGATCTTAGGACATGGTGACAATAAACACATGCATTTTTAAAAAGCAATTCTTAGTATGAGCACAGATATGTTCTCTATTCACCTGCATGCCTTTTAGTGTACAGGGGCTATTCTTCTATCCCCACTGTATGTAGAGATTTTATTGTAATTACTTTCAAATATCTATGTTGAATTTCCATGATTTATGAATTTGTATACTAATATTATTAGCAAACATTTTTTTCATTCATTTCATTGCTCATTTCTTACTAAATTTGTTGGGTTTGTGCTATTGTTTTAGATATAACCACAGACATTTTGGTCTTTTGTATAATCTGAGGTATAAATGCTCAAAATTTCTCCACTAAGCATTATGTTTGCCTGAGCTTTATAGAAAGTACACTAGATTAAGATATTTTTTGTGACTATGCTTTTCACTTTAAAGATTTCTGATGTAGAGTTAATGACTTCTATAGATCCCTTATAGTGACTTTCTTCTATACCCTTTCTCAACTTAAAACCCAATCAAACAACTTTGTTTGAATTTTTTTAATAAAATAAGAAAATTTCTTTATTATTTCAGAAGTTTTAGTGGTGACATCTTCTTACCTAAATGGGGAGACATTTTTGTCTTTGCTTACTGTATACAGTTATTGTCATCCTTAACCATAACAGTAAAAAGATCAAAGCATGAACCTGTTCTCCTTCCAATGTTTCCATCTCTATGAATATTCACTGTCTTCATTTCTCAGAAAATTTTTAGTGGTAGTTATGTGTGATGTTGTAGCCATCATGAAAGCTATGATGTGTATAACTGACAACATTGATAAGCCTGGAGACTTATTTTCAGTTATACAACTATTTATAAAGCTAGCAAACCTCAGATTTTAGGACTTTCAGTGCACACATGGTGAATAGACAGACAGACAGACAGAAAGAAAGGTTGATGATATATAGATAATCTCTATCTGTCTGACCCTCTACCTATCCAACCCTAAAGCAAAAAAGATCATTAGTACATGGAAAACAGCCCAAGATTTTCTATTCTCTTTTGCTTATGATATTATCTTATTCAATTTTACTTCCTTCAAGTACAGCATTATGACTTAATATCCTTAAGGAGATAAATGTGAGTTCTAGGGAAGAAGGTATTTAGAGATTTTTGACATGTGACACAATGAAAAACAAAGATTACTTAAATTCATCATATCTGTGATTCTTAAACATACTTATTTTATAATACATTGTCGTGAAACATTGCCTTTACCTGTGATATATGTCAAAATCTAAGGTAATTGTTTGAAGAAACAATTTTCTGTATGCATCAGAGTGACTGTAGTCAATTTTAGGTAATACAAGCCATTGGGAAAACATTAGTGAAATGGTTCAAATAAAAATGGTGATTGAAGAGTATGTAAGACAGGAGAATAACGACCCATCTCCCTTTCTTAAGGAAAAGTTTCACAGTACATAAAGAAGAAAATACTTGAGACAGTCCATGACTGAAAGCCTGGGAGATTTGCAAATTAAAGAAAAAATTATTAAAATGATGAGATCTCTGAACTTTGCCATACATAGGGATGAAAGATACTTGAAAACTACAGAAGAATACCCAAAAATAGTTACTTTCCATTTCATAGAACTAAAATTTGTAGAAAAAGGAGATTAAGAGGACTTCTAGGGAAAGGTATATATTTAGATATTTTTGACTTGTGACTCCTTGGATGACCAAGGAGAGTTAAATTCAAAAGAATATTGGAAAACTTGCAGGAAGTAGTAGGAAGTGTCAGAGAGATGACAACACAGTTAGGAGCACAGGGCACCATTTGCTGTGGGGAAGAAGGAATAATATCATCAGAGAAAAAGTGCAGAGAACACTAGACTTAGTGCAATGAACTCCTTAACTTCTACTGCCCCATCACAGTTGTGTGTTATCTGCAGATATGGTAACCCAAGTACAGCCAATTACTTGACTTCTGCAATCTTTTTTTTCCTACATGGGTAATATCTGGAAGCTTTGAGACTCTAAGGCAGATTTGTACATTCACTAAGATACATTGTTCCAGTGTAGATATTTTTTTTTCTGAAATTACACCCCATATCCTTTGAACTGGTAGTGTATGTGTGTGTTTCAGACTCTGGGAGAAAATTGTCTATAGTGAACACAGTGCTATGAGACAGCAACCTCTTGACTGACCAGAACTCAGTAACAACTCAACTGATTAAAAAAAAAAAAGGTTTTAGCTCACTATTCCCAAATGTGGAAGATTCCATTTAGAGATTAGAAAAAATTTACTCTAAATTTTTGTCTGTATTTATTTTTTATATTAAATGTATTTTAATATTATATTTACTTTTTATTGCTAGATTTTTTCTTTGTTCTTCTCTCATACAATACATCCCAAACTACAGTTTTCACTCCCTCCACTCTTCCCAGTTTCTCCACTGACCCTGTGTCTTCCTGATCCACTCACTGATCCTCCATTTCTCCTCAGAAAAAAGCAGCCCTCCCACCTGGGATATCAACCAAAAACAGCATAGCAGAATGCAATAAGACTAGGCACAGTCTCTCATATCAAAGCTGGGTGAGGCAATTCAGTAGGAGGAAACAGGTCCTAAGTGTACGCAAAGGAGTCAGACATACCCACACTACCACTGTTAGGAATCCTACAAAACTCTAAGCCAAACAATCATAACACATATGGAAATAATCTAGTGCAGACATCTACTCAGGCTTTATGAGGCCCTGTGATAATTAGAACGTTTGAATCACTTGTTTTGTGAAAAAGCAGTTGATATATAATATTTTTAAATCTCAAAAATTGCCAGGATCTCACTTGAAAGGAATAACATCAAAGATTTCACAAGATTGCTCAGGAAGCTTGCACATGACTTTACACTATTATATTATAACTTCAGAAACAAGTGGTGATGTTTTGATGACCCAGATTCCACTGTCTTTGTTGCTTACCATTGGATAACCAGCGTCCATCTCTTGCAAGTCAAGTCAGAGTCTTTTATATACGAATGGAAAGACATATTTGAGTTGGTTATTACTGAGACCAGTCCAGTCCCTAAAGTACCTAATCTATCAGGTGTCCAAAGTGGATGCTGGAACTTCTGACAGGTTCAGTGGCAGTGGATCAGAGACAGATTTTACACTTAAAGTCAGCAGAGTGGAGGCTGAGGATTTCGGAGTTTATTACTATGTACAAACTACCCATTTTCCACACACAGTGATACAGACTCTAACAAAAGCTTACTTGCTTAAGGCAGTCCAGCTGACAATGTACTGCTTGACTGGAGAGGAGCAGAGCACTCTGTGTGTGTATGCTTGAGAGAGAGGGGCTGAGAAACATGAGTAATTGGAACTGACAGCTTTGGCTATACTCATCTGCCTGGATGAGTGGTTTGTATAGATCTCAAATGTCACCAGTTTCTGGTCCTTCTTATAATAGTCATTGTGTTGCCTCTGCATTAGGAGAATTTCATCTCATTAATCTTGGTGATTCTTACTGAGTTTAACTGTTTTTCATTGATCCTTTGAGCTTCATTTCTATTGCTTTCTTTTAATGAAGCATGTGTGTTAAATTCTCACTCAGATTTTTAAATGCTTAGACATATTATCTTTTTAACTGTTTAAGTGGACAAGAGCATTATTTTAAATGTCTTTTAAAGTAATTGTGTAGACTTTTTTCCTCTAAGGGACAGTAAAACCATAAATTCAGTATATTCCTTTAGAGATTTACTTTTATTTCTTTTTCAATGTTTCTTCTGTTTTGTTGGGGCAGACTCCTAACTGGTCTGCTCCTGTGAAGACACCATATACTGACCCATCCCAGAGGTCTGCTCCAATGAAGACACCATATTCTGACCCATCCCAGAGGAACAACTGTATTCAGAGAGCAGAGGAACCACTGCACTCAGAGCATCAGAGGAATCACTGTACTCAGAGAAGCAGAGAATCCCCTGAAGACAGAGCAGTTGAGTAAGTTGGATCCTCAGGAGCTCTAACATGCCTAGGATCATAGGATTTCAAGATCCCAGAGGCAGCCCGAGTCCTAGGAGCTCTTCCACTCAGGAGCTCAGGATCACAGGATCACAGAGACATCTGGACTCTCAGGAGTTCTGACACAACCAGGATCACAAGAGAGACAGTCTCCAATCAGAGAATGTGAATGCAGGTAGCACTAGAGATAACCAGATGGCCAAAGGCAAACACAAGAACATAAGCAACAAAAATCAAAGTTAACTGGCAATATCAGGTCCCAGTTCTACCACTATAGCAAGTCCTGGACACTCCATCACACTTGAAAAGCAGGATTCAGATGTAAAAATTACTTCTCATGATGAGTTTAGAGGACTTTAAGAAGGACATAAATCGTTCCCTTAAAGGAATACAGGAGAACACAGGTAAACAGGTAGAAACCCTTAAAGAGGAAACACAAAAATCCCTTAAAGAATTGCAAGAAAACACAACCAAACAGGTAAAGGAATTAAGCAAAACCATCCAGGATATAAAAATGGAAGTAGAATAAATAAAGATATACCAAACGGAGACTACACTGGAGACAGAAAACCTAGGAAAGAGACCTGGAGTCAAAATGCAAGCATCAACAACAGAATACAAGAGATAGAAGAGAGAATCTCATGCACAGAAGATGCCATAGAAAGAAAGAAAATGCAAAATGCAAAAAGCTCCTAACACCAAACATCCAGGAATAATAAGGATATACCCAAGGCATGTATAAAGTCAGACCTATAATAATTATACCATACTTCACACCAGAGATAATAAATGCCAGAAGATCCTGAAGTGATATTATACAGACCCTAAGAGAATACAAATGCCAGGCCAGACTACCATACCCACCAAAACTCTCAATCACTATATGTGGAGAAACCAAGATATTCCATGACAAATCCAAGTTTGCACAATATCTTTCCACAAATGCAGCCCTACAAAAGATAATAGATGGAAAACTCCAATACAAGGAGGGAAACTACAAACTAGAAAAAGCAAGAAAGTAATCTTCCAACAAGCCCAAAAGAAGATAGCGACACAAACATAATTCCACCTCTAATAACAAAAATAGCAGGAAGCAACAATCATTTTTCCTTAATATATCTTAACATCAACAGACTCGATTCCCCAATAGAAAGATGTAGACTAACAGACTGGATATGTAAACAGGACCCAGTATTTTACTGCATACAGGAAATACACCTCAGTGACAAAGACAGACACTACCTTAGTGAAAAAATATGGAAAACAATTTTCCAAGCAAATGGTCCCAAGTAAGAATCTGGAGTATCCATTCTAATATTGAATAAAATCAATTTTCAACCAAATCTTATAAAAAAGGATATGGAAAGACACTTCATACTCATCAAAGGAAAAATCTCCGAAGATGAACTCTCAATTCTGAACATCTATGCTCTAAGTGGAAGGGCACCCATATTCATAAAAGAAACTTTACTAAAGCTCAAAGCACACATTACACCTCAGACAATAATATTGGGGGACTTCAACATCCCACTCTCAGCAATGGACAGATCATGGAAACAGAAACTGAATACAGACACAGAGAAACTAACAAAAGTTAAGAATCAAATGGATTTAACAGATATCAATTGAACATTTCATCCTAAAACAAAAGAATATACCCTTTTTTCAGCACCTCATGGTACCTTCTCCAAAATAGACCATATAATTGGTCAAAAAACAGGTCTCATCAGATATAAAAAGATTGAAATAATCCCTTTCATCCTATCAGATCACCATGGATTAAGGATGGTCTTCAATAATGACAAAAACAATAGAAAGCCCACATACTTGTGTAGACTGGACAACTCTCTACTCAATTATAACTTGTTCAAGAATGAAATAAAGTAAGGAATTAAAGACTTTTTAATATTTAATGAAAATGAAGGCTCTTCATACTAAAATTTATGGGACATAATGAAAGCAGTGCTAAGACGAAAACTCATAGATCTAAGTACCTACAAAAAGCTGGAGAGAACATACACTAGCAGTGTGACAGTACACCTGACAGCTTTAGAAGAAAAGTAAGCAAATACACTCAAGAGGAGTAGATGGCAGGAAATACTCAAGCTCAGTGCTGAAGTCAACCAAGTAGAAACAAAAAGAACTATACAAAGTATCAACAAAACCAGGAGCTGGTTCTTTGAGAAACAGATACTCCAAAATATAACAAGGACACATGCTCCACTATATTCATAGCAGATTTATTTATAATAGCCAGAAGTTGGAAAGAACCCAGATGTCCTTCAACAGAGTAATGGATACAGAAAAATATGGTACATTTACACAATGGAATATTACTTAGCTATTAAAAAGAATGAATTCGAGAAATTCTTAGGCAAATGGACGGAACTAGAGAATATCATCCTGAGTGAGGTAACCCAATTACAAGAGAACACGCATGGTATGCACTTACTGATAAGTGGATACTAGCCCAAAAGCTTAAAATACCCAAGATATAACTCACAGACCACGTGAAGCTCATGAAGAAGGAACACCAAAGTGTGAGTTCTCCGGTCCTTCTTAGGAGTAAAAAAATACTCATGGGAGCAAATACTCATACGGGGACTAAGTGTGGGACCGAAATTGAAGGAGGGGCCGTCCAGAGACTGTTCCACCTGGGTATTCATTCCATGTGTAGTCACCAAAGGCAGATGCTGATGTGGATGTCAGGAAGTGAATGCTGACAGGAGCCTGATATAGCTGTTTCCTTAGAGGTCTTCCAGAGTCTGACATATTCAGAGGCAGATGCTCATTGCTAACCATTGAACTGATCAAGGGGTTCCCAATAGAGGAGTTAGAGAGAAGGAGCTGAAGGAGCTTAAAGGGTTTGCGGCACCATGGGGAAAGCAACAATGCCAACTAACCAGTGCTCCAAGGGTCCACCTAGGGGCCTGGGACCACATAGGGAGGGACCCATTTCTCCAGCTGTATATGTAGGGGAAACTGGCCTGGTCGCGCATAGGTGGGAGAGGAGATCCTTGGTCCCATGAAGGCTATATGCTGAGTGTGGGGGAATTAGAGAGTGGGGAGATGGGAGTGGGGGATGGGTAGGGGCACATCCTCATGGAAGCAGGCAGAGGGGGGATGCGATAGGGTGTTCCTGGGTGGGGAAAATGAGGTAAGGTGCTAACATCTGAAATGTAAATAAACTATCCAATAAAAAATTAATTAAAAAAAGAAAAACAAAAACAAAATGCTTAAGTCTTTATGTTGATCTTTGTGATTCTGGCATAATTGCTCGGGGCTGGCCCCATGAATGGGTTGAAGAGTGGATGTAAGAAACAGGCAAAGGGACAGATGATTCAGACACCAAGACTGGGATGCTTTTCAAATCTAACCGACTAACAATCAGAAAATTTCTTTATTTATACAATTCAAAAATATTCTCGGTTTCAAGAAATACAGATCCTATCATTTCGTCTTGGGCACACTTTTCTACTATGCCCATGGTTTTAGGTTAAACAGGTTAAAAAAAACCTTTATTATCATCAACTCCATATCCTTATTCTTTTTTTGCTATTATCATTAATTCTTTTTTTTTTAAATTTTTTTATTGGATGTTTTATTTACATTTCATATGTTGTCCCCTTACCCCATCCCCCACCCACCCAGGAACCCCCAATCCCCTCACACCTCCTCCTTCTTCTTTGTGGATGTAACCTCTATCTACCCCCCCACTCCCACCTCCCCACCCTCAAAACTCCCACCCCCTGGGGCGTCCAGCCTTCATGAGGTCAAGGATCTCATCTTCCACCTGTGCCCAGCAGGGCCCTCCACTCTTATATATTCAGCTAAGGCCCTGGATCTCTCCATAAGTGCTCCCAGGCTGGTGGTTTAGACCCTGGGAGCTGTGGTTGGTTGGTATTGTTTGCTCTCCTCATGGGGCCACAAATCCTTTCAGCTCCTTCAGTCTTCACTCTAACTCCTCCATTGAGAACCCCATGATCACTTCAATGGCTAGTTGTGAGCATCTGCCTCTGAATATGTCAGACTCTTGAAGACCTCTTAGGAGACATCCATATCAGGCTCTTATCAGCATGCACTTCCTGACTTCCACATCAGGATCTACCTTTGGTGACTGCACATGGGATGGATACTCAGGTGGAAAGGTCTTCAGACGGCCCCTCCTTCAGTTTTTGTCCCTCGCTTTGTCTCCATATTTGCTCCCTTGAGTATTTTGTTGCTCCTTCTAAGAAGGACCGAATCACCCCCACTTGGTCTTCATTCTTTATGGACTTCATGTGGCCTGTGAGTTGCATCTTGGGCATTTTAAGGTTCTGGGCTAATATCCAATAATCAGTGAGTGAATACCATGTGTGTTCTTTTGTGATTGGCTTACCTCACTCAGTATGATAATTTCTAGTTCCATCCATTTACCTAGGAACCTCTCAAATTCATTGTTTTTAATAGCTGAGTAATACTCCATTGTGTAAATATACCACATTATTTTAATCCATTCCTCAGTTGAAGGACATCTGGGTTCTTTCCAGCTCCTGGCTATTATAAATAAGGCTGCTATGAACATAGTTGAGCATATGTCCTTATTATATGTTCGAGCACCTTCTGGGTATATGCCTAGGAGTGGTATAGCTGGATCCTCAGGTAATGCTATGTCCAATTTTCTGAGGAACCGCCACACTGATTTCCAAAGTGGTTGCACCATCTTGCAGTCCCACCAACAATGGAG